TGATGCTGGGTGAGTGATTGACAGTAATTCCAGACTGTGTATCCGAGTCCAGTCGCGGATTGATGGCACGTGTGTCAGTGATGCGGGACGCTCATAATTCCGAGACTGTTAACCCTTTTCCCACTACCTTTGTGCGTAGAAAAAGGCTTCGCCTCACGCAATATTTACACGCTCAGCATCTAAACGAAGTGGAAGATGACAATCATTCTCCTCACCAAAAGCGTTGCCACATCTTTTTTTTTTTAAGGCAGGTGGGGAAAAGAGTTCTACCATTGTTTATTTGTGTGTTTGAGCGTGTGTGTTATGTGCTGGTGTATTATACGCACATGAAAAATTGGAAAAAAATGTTGAGGATGAGGAAGGGGTGCTGCAAAACAGCGAGATTGTTCTTTGCAGTCAAATTATGAGTGCTCCTCGACGACTTTCTGTAGCTCTTAATTCAAGGCGCTGGAACATGACACTGTGTCCTTCCAATAAAATGAAAAAAAAAGTACAACCCATTTATGTGTGATACGTCATTTTCGCCTCGGGCCTGCAATACCATTATCAAAAACCAAAAGTGGTGTTTTTCTCGGGTTGAAAAAAGACAGCCATCTTAAAATTGCCTGTATTATTTGATATGTGACATATTTTGTTGCCACGACACGTGCTGTGTTTGTGGACGTTAGAGATGACAATGTTTTTGATAGTGCTTTTGCATTCACGTTTCGTCGTCTATGGAGTCGGAACGGCCGCTGTAAAATACCCGTGGCGGCTTTCATTCGTCGCAAATGGTGTGCTCAGTCCGACAACGAAAGTGATTTCGTTCATAGGCGGAAACGTCGAAGGGTGCTGTTGTACACCCTCCGTTATTACATTAGGTGACTATACGGTAACTTGTCCTGTGTTTTGAGCAAATGCTAATCGTAGACAAATATGCGCATGCATACTTTGCATTTAGCTTTTAAATTGTGTGGTGCGGACACATTTATATGCAGTGTGGACACATTTCTGTGTGGTGTGGACACTCAATGTTGAAAAACGTGAACTCATTGCGTAAGTGTTGTGCTCTGTACATATGTATAGCCTTGTGTTTGCTACAAATGTGCGATGTTGACTTTTGTGCAAGAGAAGAGGAGTAGCCGGCTCCACGCATTGGCACCAACCTCTCCTTACATACATTTATTTAAAAAAAAACATTGGCGAAATGCTGTAGGCGCATGTGCTCATATTTGGATGCACGTGAAAGAACCCCAGGTGGTCAGAATTTCCGGAGCCCTTCACTACGGCGTCTTTCATAATCATATGGTGGTTTGGAGACGTTAAACCCCACGTATAACTCAATCAATCAATCAATCAGCTTTAAAATACATTCCCATTAGATCAGAACATGTAGTTATTACAGTAATATATGCGACTAAAATGAGGGTGCATTCAATAAAATGCTCACGCCTGAGCTTATATTCCTCGACTTTGCTAGCATTAATAACCTCAAGTTACAATGCAACACGCTAGCTATGTCATCGTTCGGAGTGAATCATAAAGTGAATCAAAGCGTCCCATTTCAAACTGTACCAGGTAGCCTGTTCGTCGAGTTAGTCGTCTTTATAAGGCGGCTCGAGCGCTGGTGCTCCGGACTGTCACGGAAAGTCGTGAGCAGTGCTTCAGGATTGACTAAACCTGCCCTTCTCTATCCCGTCCCACTCTACTACATGTTATGTGCGTGCAAGCCACCCAGCGTAGTCCGCCCGAGGACTGAGCGCACAAGCAGGGGGGCTTGAAAAGAGGCCGCCGCGTACGCGATTTGTGTAACGAGCAATGGGCAAGCAACAACGCACGCAGTCTTACTGCTTAGTATTAATCAATGATGCGTTTTCGATTTCTCCAGTTAACTGGCAGTGTGTTCAGGTATTACTTTGGTTGAGACTCTACCGTGATTGACTCAATGTTTGACGCCTACCAGCGACAGCGTTTGTGAAAAAAAGTTATCTTTAATGCGAAGCATTTCTTAGCGAACTTCGACGACTTTGAGCGTATCTATCGATCTATCTAGCCGCTTACGTTTGGGGGCTATTGTAGTTAACCCCTTACCTTGGCGTGAACCAAAATTAGCATGGGATGGCTTGGCGAACATGGCGAACATGACGCGCTGGTCAAGACATAGATAATCTCACAATCCAGTCGCGTACGTCGTCAAACACTTCCCGTCAGGCAGCGGCACATACCCACGGGCGGGTATGTGCCGCTGGTATGTGGATATGTGCCACAGGTGATTGACACTTAGTATCTACCTATAGGAGCGACGAGAACAAACTGAGGTAATTTCAACGCGTAAGCGTTAAAAAATACCCGACATGGGTAGCGTCGACCCAACGATGGCATAAAATAAATTTCAGTGTTAAGAAAAACCAGACATAGTCAGCGTTGACCCCCTGATGAATGCAAATAATGAATTTCAAGGTCCCAGCAGGAATCAAACCCAAGCATTTTGCGTGGCAGTCAAGCATTCGACCGCAGAGCTACGCCAGGTCTCGGAACTACTTTTCAAATAGACGCTAATCTTCGGGAAACGTCAATAGTGGTTGCAGTGCTGCCCACCTAATTTTATAAATATTACATATGCACTCCTTTGATACAGCCGTCACGTCGGGTTAACGTCAGATGAGGTTAAGTGCCGCGCGCTGAAGTTGATTTATGCAGCACTGTCCAGGGCCAGCATCTTCGCGAGTATCAGCGCTTCATAGCAGCTTCTGGTGTTGCTAACATGCATATTACAGTTGACATCGTTGCGCAAGTGCAAGCAACTGGTTATATAAACATCTGCAACTCTTCAACATATGTCTATGCGTGCCACATTTTTACATATACTTATCCTCGTATAATGACGTGTCGCTCGATAAAAAAAATTGCAGCTAGGCTCCCTCCACATGCTTCGCATAACGTCGATTCCCACGTACGTGGGTTCGGCCGATTTTTTTTTTATTCTTCGTAATACCATTTCCGCCGACGTGACTGCGCATGTACATTGAGTCAGTGATTCAGTTCTCTCTATGCAAAAATACAATATGATTAACTGCGCATTAAACAGACATGAAATTGTTCGGTGATTATCGTGGCTCACTATTAACGTGTTCACAGCAGCATCCACTGCATCACCTTTCTTTTAAGGAACTTCCTAGTGTCTTTTGAATAAATAATAGGAGGCGTTCATCACCAGCTCACAATAATTCGTACCTAGAGGTGTTCATGACCTAATGCCTTGCTCGCTGCGTGATTGTACTTGCGCGCTACTTCAAAACACGCGCAACTACAAAAAAAAAAGAGAACACGTGACACCGTTAGCGAGTTTCATGCAAAGAACCGGCTGACGTTCAACAAAAGAGCGACACAAATCCCGGCAGTTTAAGGCAACCTCTTGTTTGAGACGGTAGGCAGAGCATTTTTCTTCATCAACCTATATGTGCGAGCAAACATCTGTGAAATCAGGATCACTAAGTAGTTGCTACAATTAAATTCGAAGGTCTTCCGTGCCCAAACTGTGACATTGTTATAAGCCGAGCTGTGGCGATAGCCTTCACCCTAATTCTGACCACCTGGGGTTCCTGGTCTCGCAGCCTAAATCCGAGTACATAGATAACTGTTTGCTTCATTTTTCCTGCATCTGAGTTCGGGTGCCGTGATCGGGATTCGAACCCAAGCATTATAGGCCCGGAGCAACATCTTAGCCGCCGATCTACAGCTGTGGTCGTACTGAAAGTCAGGCTATATTCTCACCACATGTGCCGCCAGGTGATACGCTATGAAACTTTTTCTATTCAACTTTAACACTTGTGCGCCATGTTGACACCTTTTTTTCATTGCTTTAATGATCATGTGTTCTTCAATAATTTTTTTTTGTTGCGAGTCAGCGCTCGTCTGTGCCCCTTCTCTACTCTTCCGTCTTCCCCGTGGTCGCACTGTAGCCAAAAATGCTACAACTGTGAATTGTTGCGTGGTTAGTAAAATATTTCAAGGGTACAGTTAGCGCACACAATTCGAGCACATAATGCCACTGGAGTGAAAATTGGGTGTCGTCAGTAGATGTTTGCATTTTATGTGTTCAAGGGACTGAACGCCGACATCAGACCTGCGTGTCTGAATGACCCGTTCCATTGCTCAACAGTCGTGGATGCGGTTCAAGCGAAATTAAACGCGAAAGTGTACATAAATTCACGTGTGGGTTAGGGAAGCTCGAAGTTGTTACAGTAACTCCGGGAACTTCTTTATATTACGGATAGCAAAAGCATCCCACATAAAGCCAAGCAGTTTGATGATATTGAACCCTATGATTTTTTAAAACTCATGGCTGAAAATGTGAACAAAACGTAACAGCCTTAAAAATTATGTTGTCAACAAATATTGGTGAAATACAAATACAAAAGACACCTTTCCAATCATCTGAAATGGTGCAAAAAAAGGAATAATTGCAGATTTTGCTTTCGTAAAAACTCTGGCAGCCAGTTCCGTTTAACAAAATTCCAGCTGTTACCATTGACTGGTGCTTGATCCTAAGCGAGCGTTTATAATCAGTAATAGTCGTGATAATATGGAACCTGGAACCCAAAGCACAGTGGTTTGAGTTCATAAGGGTTATTCTTGCATGGAACGGTAGTTTTCATTATATTTAACATTGCAATTCATGCTACTTGCTCTTACGAACAGTTTTGGCTTTTGACTCACGCTAACGTGCCCAGGCACAATGCTCATTCTGCTAATTTCGCAGAACTGCGTGCTGTTTTAGTGAATAAAAGACAATGCGGTAAAACATACACTGCAGGCAAGTTAAATGCCGTAACCAAGAAATATGATAAAATGTAGAGCCAAAAGGAGTGGCTAGAATGAAACAACGGCTACCATGTAGCCAATAGTATCATTACAAGGCAAGCTAAGGGGTAAGTATCCACGTGTTTCTGTTCTGAAGAAAGTGTCGCGAAAGCTGAATCCTAATGCGGAATGTGTGGAAATCGCCGCCGCGTACTCACATGCTGATTGCAGTTGCCGCACACGTCACGAAGAGAGAAGAATCACTGAACAGGTCTACTTTGCAGCCGGCGGTGTCGTCGACCGTGGCACTGTGAAATGGCAGCACTTCACTGCCGAACACGGGCCAAGTATTCAGGCCAGGCGATGCAAAACGTCGGTGAGACTCCGGGAGCGCCGGCGTTGCATCCGACGTGGCCGCGCGGCGAATGAAGTTACACTCTGCGATGTATGCAGTTTTGCCTTGCTGCTGGGCTTTCCACGGGAGAGCTGCTGCATTGCCGGCATCCCTCGTCAGCCGGCGGCAATGAGGAACAAAAAAAAAAAAAAAAGGCGAGCGAGAGAGAGAGAGCAAAACGTGCTAGTGTTTCCTCCTCCAAGAAAGACCTTGCCGTCAGACGCTTTCGACATTCGCTTCACTTCCAGCGCACCTTTCGTGCGTGCGTTCCCTCGCCGCTCTTTGTCGGTGCCTCGAAGCGGCGTCATTAACGAATGTGTGTCCACGTGAGTGCGTTGGTAAACCAATTTGTATTCCGCTGCAGTCAGTGAAGCTTCCCATATCGCTCAACTTGAAGCACGGAACGAATACTTAACAGTCGCGGCTGTTGTAATAATATCAACTTACTGTTCAAGTGAAAGGGAGTAAGTACCAAATACAAGTTAACGGGTTAGGGTGCGCAGTGACATTTTGATGTTTTGCTCCATGTTACTCTATTCGCATACCTTGCCGCTCATTTACTTCATTGACTCGAAGGTAACCTTTCAGGCGCAAGAATTACGCAGGGGAAAGAGCACATCTGGAACAATTGTTTGCAAAGTTATGCACAATCGTATTATTGTTTGACAGATAATGCCCTAACGAGGCAATGAATGTCAAAAATTTATTATTATCTGACGTTTCAGGAACTAATTACAATTTAAATAACGAGCTTCAACGAGTATTTGTGCTTATGAGGAAACAAGTGGCTTTTGTAATTTAATGCATGTTTTGACGGGTTTGAAACTCTGGGCCACGAGCACGAAAGCTAATATTGCTCTAACGCAACGCAATCAACAAACGCAAATATTATATAGTTTATGAACCGAAAAAAGGGTATTTTTGAGTGCTCGTTTTTTTTCTTTAGACAAAATATTTATGAGAGCTAACAAAAAGATTAACAGGAAGAGTATTGCATATATTATTTGCAATAACTGTGTTCTAACTGCGAAGAAACCAAAGAGGACGAAGAGATGGTTTGCTGCCGGCAGAGAACGATCTGAATTATTCATGCAAATTTGTATAGTTAGAACTAAAATGAAAGCGAACGACCCGAACAGCTAAAAATGATAACTTTAAAGGTGGCAAGTTCCTTTCTGACGGAGCAACAAGAAATAAAGAATGCTATAGCCGAACTAAGGGTAACTCTCCAGTTGTTTCTGTTCATAAGATGGACGACACGAAAGGTGGATTCTACTAACGTTCAACAAGTTTCTTGCGATGTGGGTCAACCCTCGCTTCTCCAGGATATTCATGCGTATAGAGACATCAGTGACATTTCGCATGGACGTGATTAACAAGATCATGTATTCTTGAAAGAAAGCAAGATATTTGTTTTTCGCTGCTTGAAAAAACAACAAAAAAGGTTCATTGGAGGACGAATCGGAGAAGAAAATATATACATACGTAAACACTAGCCGCTCAACCTCCCCGTCAACGGAGTGCAGCGCATCCGTTTCCGCGTGTGTCTGTGCGTCACACATTCTCTCTCTCTCTCTATTGTTCAAACCGCGTCTCGCAGTTTTCGTGTCGTCATACATTATTCTTGTGTCCTCGAACGAGGCGTCCCATTGGCTCCTACTAGTTTAGGCGAGCGTATTCAAATGTCCATGCTCCCTCTTTCTATGAACTGCTACTGCTTTTTCACAAGTCAACTCTGAAGAATAACACGAGCCTTCGAACGAGAGAAGGGGCTGTTCAATGAGAAGGATGGGTCCTAATGGATCACCGTTCTCTTTGATTCGAGACACGCGTATTTCGAGCTTTTAAGACAATTAAGGACTTGACCGACCCATATAACGTGCTTTCACATTTTGAATCGATAATCAAATACCATGGCGCGATCACTCACACTTGCGACACCCACGCTAGACAGCGGCGGAGAATGTTTACGTACCTGCCTTGACATGCGATGCGAAATTCTTGAACACGGGGTGTATAGATCCATTCCATGTTTGTAAACACAGATAGGCCGACGTCGACATTATGGGCAAAATAGCGACCTCCGCACGTAACTTCCGCCATAAGCGTTGAGGGCTGCGATGTCCGCCAACAAACAAAACTAAGTTGTGAGACGCGACTCACATCCAACCGCGACGCAGCTTGTGAGCATAGCGTTTTTTTTTTCTCGTTGCTTGACTGAGAACAACACATGCACCATTGAAAACCCAGCAGAGTCTGTCTGGTAGGCAGAGCGTCTTTTGCCTACCAAGACAGTGCCACCACATTTTCGTGACGTACGTCCG